GAGATAAATGGGATACAAATTAGAAATAAAGAAGTCAAAATATCACTATTGACAGATAATATGATATATATAAGCAGTCCCAAAAACTCTACCAGGGAATTCCTACAGCTGATAAATACCTTAAGTGAAATGTATAGACACAAAATTAACTCAAAGAAAATCATTAGTCCTCCTATATACAAATGATAAATTGGTTGAGAAAAAAACCAGGAACCAACACCCTTGACAATAGCCACAAATAATATAAAATACCTTGCGGTAACTCTAACCAAGCAAATGAAAGACCTGTATGACAAGAAATTCAAGTCTTTAAAGAAAACAATTGAAGAAGATATCAGAAGATCTGCCATGCTCATAGATAAGCAGGATTAACAGAGTAAAAAAAATGGCTATCTTACTGAAAGCAATCTATAGATTCAATACAATTCCCATCAAAATTTCATCATAATTCCTTACAAATCTTGAAAGAACAATACTCAACTTCATATGGGAAAACAAAACACCAAGATTGCTAAAACAATCCTGTACAGTAAAAGAACTTCTGTGGTACCACTATCCCTAATTTCAAGTTCTACTACAAAGTAATAGAAATCAAATGATATTGGCATAAAAACAGACATGTGGATCAATGGAATTGAACTGAAGACCCAGACATAAATCCGCAAACCTATGGACACTTGATTTTTGAAAAAGAATCCAAAATTATACAATGGAAAAAATAAAGCATCTTCAACAAATGGTGCTGGAATAACTGGATGTTAGCATGTAGAAGAATGGAAATAGATCTGTATCTATCATCCTGCACAAAACTCAAGTCCAAGTGGATCAAAGACCTCAATATAAAACCAGATACACTGAACCTGACAGAAGGGAAAGTGGGCAATAGCCTTGAACATAATGGCACAGGATACAACTTCCTGAACAGAACACCAGTTGCACAGACACCAAATTCAATAATTAACAAATAGAACCTCATGAAACTGACAAGCGTCTGTAAGGCAAAGGACACTGTTAAAAGGATAAGACAGAAGCCCACAGAATGAGAAAAGATCTTCACAAACCCCACATTTGAAGAGGGCTAATATACAAAATATATAAAGAACTCAAGAAAATAGACACTGACAAACCAAATAAGCCAACTAAAAATGGAGTACAGATCTAAATGGAGAATTCTCAACAGAGGAATCTCTAATGGCCGAGTATCACTTAAAGAAATGTTCGACATCCTTAGCCATCAGGAAAATCCTAATCAAAATGACACAGAGATACCATCTTACACCTGTCAAAATTATTAAGATCAAAAACACAAGTGACAGCTCATGCTGGAGAGGATGTAAAGCAAGGGGAACACTCCTCCACACCTGGTAGGAAGGCAAAATTGTACAGACTCTTTGAAAATCAATATGGTGGTTTCTTAGGAAATTGCAAATCCATTTACCTCAAGACACAGCTATACCACTCCATATATCCAAAGGACCCTCCACCATACCACAAGGACACTTGCTCAACTATGTTCATAGAAGCATTATTTGTGATAGTCAGAACCTGCGAACAACCTAGATGACCCTCAGCTGAAGAATGGAAAAAGAAAATGTGGTAATTTACACAATGAAGTATTACTCATCTGTTAAAAACAAATGACATCAGGAAAATTGTAGGCAAATGGATGGAACTAGAAAAGATCATCCTGAGTGAGGTAACCCAGATCCAGAAAGCAAACATGGTATGTACTCATTCATAAATGGATACAAGCCATAAAGCAAAAGAGGACCATACTACAACCAACAGACCCAGAGAAACTTAGTAACAATGAGGTTTCAAGGGGCCAGGGGACACATGAATATTACTATGAATGGGGAAATAGAATGAATATTGCCAGTGGAAGGGGGGGGACATGTGAGGGGGTAGAGGGATAGGAACAGGAGGGATTAGATTGGGGGAGGATGGAGGGAGAGAGTACCGGGAGAGACATCTGGAATCTGGGGGCATCTCTGGGATGAGCTAGAAACCTACTGTAATGGAAACTCCCAAGAATCTATGAGGGTGACCCTAGCTAAGACTCCTAGCAGTAGCAGATCTGGAACTTTAACCAGGCATCTCCTCTAACTAGGCAAGACTCCCAGAAGAGGGATTGGGACACCAACCTAATCACAAACCCTTCGACCTACAATTTGTCCTGCATACATAATGTGCTGAGGAAAGGTGATGCAAAAACGTCAGGAGTGACTAAATAATGACTGACACAGCTGGAGACCCATACCATGAGACAGAGCTCACCCCCTGAGGGACAGGACCCAGATGCAGGATACCCCAGAGTCCTAGGATAGGACCAAACATGAATAGCAAAAAAAGTCAATGAAAAGTTCCTAATCATATTCTGCTGTATTCATAGACTGGTACCTATCCCAATTGTCATCAAAGAGTCTTCACCCAGAAACTGATGGAAACAGATGCAGAGACTCACAGCAAAACATTAGGCAGAGCTCAGAGAATCCTGTGGAAGAGCAGGGGAAGGATTGCAGAACCCGGTATGCTCAAAGGCACCACAACAAAACCCACAGAACCAACTAACTTAGGTTCATAGGGGTTTACAGACACGGAACCAATAACAAGGGAGCCTTCATGGGACTGATCTAGGTAGGCCCTCTGCATATGTGTCACAGATGTGTAACTTGGTCTTTGTGTGAGACTCTAACAGTGAGAGCAGGAGCTGTCCCTGACTATGTTGCCTGTTTTGGAGGTCCTTTCCTCCTACTGATTGCCTCATCCAGACTTAATAGAAGAGGAGGTGCCCAGTGTCACTGCAACTAGATATACCATGGCTGGCTGGTATCCATGGGAGACTCACCTGTATCTAAGGAGAAGCAGTGATAAAGTAGTGGATAGAACAGCTGTGGTGGACACACTTTGAAATGTAAAACCAAAAAGTAAAAAAATGTAAAAAGAGAACAACACTCACTCAGTGTCAGATCATTCCTAAAAGTGGTTCAAGTTTCACAGAAAGTCCTGGAATTCAGCCAGGTTCATTGGTACAGCTGCAGTAGATGGTAAGATACAGTAACATGGCCAGAAACAGCTGAGACACATCTGTTGTCCTTAGCCTCTCAGGAGATTACTCAACACCCTGAGTTCTTCTAGAAGATGTTCCACACCTCCCTGGCATTAGGAAACTAAAGGACAAAGTAAGGTTTCCTACGGACAGAACAATACTCATAGGAAAACCCTGTAAAGACAGTTCCTCTGTAAGGGAGGCAACTGTACAAAAACTCTGCTGATCAGAGAATATACTGTGGAAGGTATTTTTGTTAATTTTAAATAATAAGTTCATATTTTTTAAAAAACCTTTCTTATTGCATTTCAACTTTTTCCTATGCAGAGAACTAACAAAATGTTGAAGTACTTAAAGCTACCGATTAACAATTTTTTTCAAAGAATTAGTTCCCCCTCTTCAAGCGTCATTGTCATCCATTTCCAAATTACCTTGTTTGTCTCCTGTTAGAATCCAGATCTTAATATTGGCTAGTGATAGACTCGTAACTGTTTCAATAACACCTTCTTGTAACTTATCTTCTATAGCAGTAGCACCTAGCAGCTTCATTGGAGAGTAAAGAATAACATATTAGTACATGGAAAGAACACATGTAACATCCATAGCTTTCAGCCAAAGGTTAAGGAAAGGAACAGAAAATGAAGACAACTTATAAAATGTTGGTATAAGTAAGCACCCTATTGTGTATATAAATCGATTCATCAGGTAGAAACCCAAAAGGAAGTATACAAGTGTGGCCTACTTAATAACAGAGGCCCAGGAAGGTAGAATTTACATGAGGGAGACGGGATGTTGAGAGAGCATGCTGGCATAAATGGACAGAGGTTATTCCACCTGTGATGATTTAAGAAGTCCCTAGCTGCTTCTCCACTTTGAGCAGCAAAGGAGAGCCCCAAAGAAGAAGCCCTCACCTCATATTCAAGAAACTGAGGAGACAAAAAGTGGTGTCACTTGATGAATTAAGAAGTCAGCAGGTGATCTAATAAAAAGTAAAGAGTTTTCAGTTTTCACCCCAATGATGGGACCTGCTTCCTACGACTCCCAGCTACCAACCTCCTTGGTCACCAGGGTCTCTCAGAAGAGTGACTTCTAAAACAGACCACAGTCTGGGTAGTCATCAGAGTCTCCTGGCCCAAAGAAATTCAGGGTTACAGCTCTGCTCTCCACATCAATTGTCTGTACACTAAAGATGTAAATCGCAAAGCAGAGAGAGGAAATGAATATGATGTATCAAAGATAAACCAGGGTTGATAAATAAGGTGTCTACTCTCCTTTAGTTTGGGAGGATTTCCATTGCATAAGTTATTATCTGACAAAGCCAGTCCTCTAGATTCACTGGGTCCATACATATTAAGCTCAAAGCCAGCAAACAAATCTAGATACCATGTTGAAAGAGAACCATCTACTATTAAAGATGAGTTAGCCAATGGCTTAAGCATACGGTATCACACTTCCAAATGTATACCATCAAATCTCTTTCAATTTCTTCATACAGCCCAGATATCCGTTCATCCCTCTCAGTGGTGGCAGCATTTGCATCTTCAAGCATCTCCTGCCACACTTTAAAGTACTTGTCATCAAGCTCTCTATAAGCAATTGCCAAGGTTCGAAGGCCTTCACCTGCAAATTCCTGTAAGAGAAAATGTAATCTTAGGAATAGGTAGACAACAATAAATACAGCAAAAGTCCACACAACATGGAGAGGGGTTCACTCACATCCATTTTGTCCCAAGAGCACGGCATGGTCATTCTGACTCTAAATCCTTAACTCCTTAGGCATAGGAGAGAATGGTTGTGCTTTATGTTTATGTCCATGAGGTTTGACCAGCAGGGGCACTAGTTTTCCCCTAAAAGCTCCTGAAAATGCCTGTGTTCTAATTGGGAAGAAAGGAAGGGTGTGGAAGATCTGTTGGAAACAACTGCATCAGTGTCCAACCTTCTTTGCCTATAGGAAGCATTCCTGTCCATACCTCACAGCCCTAACTCCCAGTGATGAGGAGAAGCCCTTGGAGGAGCCACAGATCTCCAGACAAAGAAAGAGAGGAAGCCCTTAATGGACTGTAGCCGGCTGTCTAACCAGCTTTCCCCACCCCAGTCCCAATAAAGCATCCTTGATGAAAATTCAATGAGTGCTACTTTTGTATCTACTTGAAAATTTCCATAATAGAAACTAAAAGCAGTAACTGATGAATAAGTAGATGCTAAATAGTTGAGTAAGAGAAGTCTGCTATACTCCATATGGCTATGATAATTGCCTTTGGAGGAAAAGGAAGAGAAAGAAATGAAAGATACTACACATGTAAACTTTGAGGGCTGTCTTGGGTCCTTGAGGGCTGTCTTGGGTCTTTCATTCGAGACTCTTCTGTAAAATGTTTTTCTTCTTTACTACATTTAACTTTCATGTTTAATTAAAAAAAAACTTCTTTGAAATCTTGAAGACATCATCATCAAGTCAGACCAGCTCAAACATTCATTATTTGTTAGAATTTTTTCACAGTTAATTTTAATGAGTAATCAAATATTGGGAAGTCATACTTATACTTTTCCTAAGTTTGTGTTAATTGTCCACCTGACACAGCTTAGAGTCATCTAAAAGGAAGGACGTAGCTGAGGAATTGCCCAGATCAGATCGTCCTTTGGATTTGTCTGGGGGGGGTTGTCTTGATTAACTGATGCAAGGATGCCCAGTCCACTACAGGCAAGACCATCCAGACAGGTAGATCTGGGCTGTGTAAAAAAAACAAAACTAGTAAGCATGAGCCTGTGAGTGAGTGAGTGAGTGAGTGAGTGAGTGAGTGAGTGAGTGAGTGAGTGAGGAGTGAGTGAGCCAGTCAAAGAATGATTCAGCAAGCAGTGTTCCTCCATGGTTTCTGGTTGAAGTTCTTGCCTTGAATTCCTGCCTTGTCATACCCAATGATGGACCCAGACATATAAGCCAAATAAACTCACAATCGCATATGATTCTTCTGATAATTTTTCCTTCTAACAGGGGTGGAGTGTCAGAGGTTGGTGACTGCTATGTGTCTCACACAGCCACATTAGCTAGAAACATAAGTAGATTGAGTTTGGGGGCAATGTTGAAAACCTCACTTGTCACTTCTGCCTCCAGTGGTCATTTTATGGGCCTCCAAACTTCCAGCAAAGCATTTTAATAGCCATCTCTGCTCCTTTGGGCATGCTGGTCACCAAGCAAACTTCTCTATCATTTTGCTGTATAGTGAAGATGGAGTATTGTGATCAGACATGTGCTAAATCATGATGCACCCTAATGAGTAAAAAGAAAAGCTGGTGTGTGGTACAAAGATGTGTTTCAGCCCAGAAAGACCACAGGAAACATTAACTGAATTCATCGCCCAGGCAGTTGGTAGTATCTGGGACATTTCATGCACATTTGCAAGCCCTATCTCCCAAGAACATCACCACATCCCCTTCTGATCTGAAAATCTAGTTACAGCCTTAAAACCATCCTTTGTCTTCTCAATTCACACAGATTCGTCTTTGCCTTTAACTCGAAACCCCACTGGGCATTACCACTGCCTCCCTCTCTGTTCCTCACAACAGTGAATCAACTCTAAGAGGACACTAGAAAAGGGGACAGATGCCTTAAGTCATCTAATTAGTTATGAAACACACATTTAATCCGAAATGGCCACTTGAGCAAGGCCTTTTCCTATCGTTAAACTATCCAAAATCAACGATTTTGGAAATCAAAATGGTGAACGTGAATGAAGGAAAGGGCAGGTTCAATTTATTTGTGCTAAAACGAATTCAACTGCAAAGGACTTTACTATGAAAGGAAAATGTCTAGAGCCTTGGTGTTTGGGTAATGACAAAATCATATAGTTATTACTCCAATGTTGTTTTAATTAAGAAAACTAAAAGACCATGTCAGTCTCTGGAAAACATTAAAAGGAAATCAAGAATGCTCTATTAAATAGGAAAAAACAGCTATGTTTGTAACAATTACTATTAAACCATCACTTTAAACTTAAAAGTCAGTCAGAATATTTACATTTTGTTTGTTTTTAGAAGAATTGAGAGGGTGTTTTATAATAAAAACAACATCCGACAAAGGAACGCAAATCTTCAGTGGAGGAATAAAAACTGATAAAATGAGAATTTTGAACTATTTCCTGCAAAGTTCACAGGGCTCAACCAGAACCTCAAACAAATTATTAGTGTGACAGGTGAACAACAGGTCTATTATTTTATAGACCCTTACCCTTGAGAGGGGATTGAAGGTACAAAGATCACCTCTATGCCCTTCAGAAAATTTCCAAAAAAATATCACTCTAGTCCTAGAGTCTGTGGATTGACACCCAGAACACATAAGGGACTCACATTTTAGCAGGAGTGAAAGAAGCCTCATAGGACAAAGATGATTGTCTCCAGAGACTTTTTTCCCTCACCATCTAAACACAGTCAGAAAGTGGTGGCCCCAACTGACCCTGGCTCACCGAGCTGTGTGGCTCTCCCAGACGTCCTGTGCTAGTTCACCTGTGCTAAAACTCTGAGTGGCAGCCAGTTCCCAGATGCTCCCTAGCACTGCCCTCTGTGGCATGGCTCCCAGCTGCTTTCTGTTTTAGAAGTCAGCTTGTTTGCTGATTTTCATTAACAAGTGTCACAGGGGATGGCAAAGGGTTCCTGTGCTGACCTTACCATGGGGCACTTACACTGAGATGGTCTGACGTCAAAGACAGCAGTTCTTTGTTGGAAGGATGGAGTTTCTCAAACAAAATAGTGTCTGCTCCTTTGGAATAAAGTTTTATTTGTCCTTCTGGGTTTCGAACTAGAAAAAAAAAGAGTTTGGAAAAGCAGGTTATATCACTGAAATCTGTGAAAACTAGACTGTCCCAGCTAACCCATCTGGAAATAGGCATAAGGTTTCAGCCAGGAACAAAGAAAGCATTCAGGGCCACTGGCTAGACAATCACTACCTAAGTTAGTGGGCTTTATTCCTGTTCAATTAATTTAAAAATATTCCTTCTACTGGAAGTTTTTGATCCCTAAACTCAGAAGCAAGAATTTTTATACTCTTATACATGACCTACCCAGCTCCCTGTTGCTAAACAGCTGAAAGCCTTAAATCAAGACATGTGTATTAAAGAGAATTAAGAGCTTTACTTGAAAGCACTTGGTGCAGAATTCAAGATCTTCTATTTAAATAAATATCAGTGTAGTGCCAACACATTTCCATGTGGAATTCTAGCCACTCAAGTTGTTGCCATCTAGGGATCTTGATACTGTTCTTTTTCTCTGCCATTTCAAGAATTAAAAGGCAGCAAAAAGCACATAGAGAGCTGACAGAATCAAGCAGTGAAGAAAGACTTTATTAGAGGCAAGAATATACACATACATACCTACTCACACACACATATACATACACACTCACACACATATACATACACATACACACTCACACACATATGCATACATACATACATGCACATACAGATACATACACACATGCATACACACATGCATATGCATATGCTCACATACATATATATATATATGCGTATATACACACATATATATACAGACAAGCACATGCACATATATACATGCATACTTACACACACATATACACCCTCACACATACATACTTACAATATAATACATACACGCATGCACACACATACATACACACAGGCACACACATATATGCATACATACATACACACATATACATACATACACACATGTACACACACATACACACACAGACAGACAGACATGCACACACATACATATATACATACATGTATACATACATATATACATACATACACACACATATATACACACTCACACATATACATACAATATACATACCATACACATGCACACACATATATACATATATACATATATACATACACACATGCACACATACATACATACACACATGCACACACATATATACATACATACATACACACATATACATACATACATGCACGCACATACACACATATAGACAGACAGACATGCACACACATACACACATACACACATATACACACTCACACATATATACATAAAATATATATATACACATACAGACAGACACACACACACATGCACACACACATGCACACACACACACAGAGCAAAGCACACAGATATAAAACCTTCAAAGCAAAGGGGGAATCTAGAATCCAAAATTCATTCTCTCCTCTAGGGACAGGAGTTTTAAGTATCTTTGGGAGTTATTCTTCCCCTACTTTAGGGCTAGCCAGTTTGAACAAAGACAGGCTGACTGATAGGACCACAACTTGGTGAACCTGACCTAATCCCTCCTTTATGGTCCAACAGAAAGGGAACCAGATTGGTGAAAACAGAGCCTACCAGGCCTTTGTTTGAAAGTGCCAGTCTTTTGTCTCAGGTCAGGAGGGTAAGTGAAAAGTTGCTGTCTTTAGAACTTAGTATGGCCCCTCCCTGCCTGTCTGCCTAACTCCCTACCTGGTCTAATAACTCCTAGTCCCTCAGGGTGTTGGATGCACGTCAGTCATTGGTCCTTGCTCTGCTGCTCTTTTATGCCCTTTGGTGCATGGGAAAGCTCATTCATTTCAGTGGTTTGTTCTTGGGTCAGTCATAGTTGCAAACACACTTCACAGAATTGAAAGAAACAAAGCTTCTGTCTTTCTTCTGCTGAAAGTTGTTGTTTGTAGGGTTGTTTTCCCTTGTTCTCCAGATTCAGGAATGACAGCTCTCACAGACTTCCTATTTCACTAATCTCACCTGCATGCTCTATCCAATCTCACTCTCAAATCACATAAGAGTTGACCAAACATTGTAGGATTGGTTTTAAACTTTGGCACACAGTAAACAATTAATGTGGATGACTGGATGGATGGACAGACGGACAGACTGATAGATGGACGGTGAGGTCATATATTTTTCCCTAGGAGATCCAACAATGTGAGACAATTACCTGGGCCACAACTTCACTTCATAGTCTAACACACATCTTCACAGACTTTATCGATTAAATCATAAAGATCATTTCATGCTTTCCACTTGAAGTTTTCTCTAAGAATAGAATGCCTCAGAACATAAATATACTTCACTATTGATTTAGAGGGAATAAGGTGATGGTAGGAAACAGCTCAGAGATG